CATGGCATCGTTTTGGGTGGAGCACTTTATGACAACCGTGGACGCGTAACGACACGATTTTGGCGCGCTGATTATAACTCAGATTTTGTTGCGGTGAAAGGCCCGACAGGAGCAGTGGCATCTACGCGCGGCAGCGCCATTGGAGGATTCGGCCCGAAAATAGAGAACAGCAGCGGCAGGGAGTTTCGTAGGGCATGCCTAAGTACGCACTTAAGAATTCTGCACCAGGGTTCAGTCGCATGGTCTTTGAAGAGAAGGGGCAGAGCCGCATCGACCACCTCCGCGTGCCAGACGGAGCGGCAGGAGCGGTCAACTAATGCAGGGCGCTGACTATCGTAGGACGCCGGCTCCAGCCAGTGCGACGTAGAGAACAGAGAGAACATTTACCATTTGCACTTGCGATTATTTGAAACACCGGTCTACGTGGACAGCGCCGGCCAGCGAATTGCTGACGGGGATGCACTTATGAGATGTTTGAGAGACAAGTTTCGACGCGAGGATTTATTTCGAAAGATAATCAGAGCCGCGCCCAAGAACCGCAGAGGAGCAGTGGCAACATACGAAAAGCAGAGGCACTCCAGCCGACGCGCGGGGCCTCCCACGGATTGCGGCGACAAGTGCAATGGAAGAAACCTTTCCGCAAGGAGCTGGAGTGCACCAGAATGGTGGGATATTGCAGCGCAGTGTCGCATGCAGTTAGTAGACGTCACGATGGGGCTGAGACAGACCATGGGCCGCAGCAGCGACTGGGGGCTTGACGAGATTCAGGGGAAGCTGAAGGGGATCACAGCGACGCTCAAGATTAGAAGAAAGAGAGAGAGAGAGAGAGAGAGAGAGAGAGAGGCAGACAGAAAGACAGACAGACAGACATACAGACAGACATATATACAGAGAGAGAGGGAAAGAGATATGTTCGAGACGCGCGACGCTGAGCAGAATTTGGAGGCTTTATGTCATGCAGATGTTTAGCGAAAGTATGGCAAACCTCGCGCCCTCCGTTGCCTATGCAGCGGAGTGGGGAGAGGACCGCGAACGCGCTGTGACAATTCGCTTCGGACCAACAAGGAAGCGCAGGAGCGGGGAATTGAATCTTAAAAAACAGGGAAAAGACGGGGGGCTGAAGGCCGAGAGGATTCATTACGAGAAAGTAAATACAGAACATTGCATGGGCGCGGACATGGATGGAGATGGCGGCGCAAAAATTGCGGGCGCATAATTGATGGAGGACGCGCGAGAGTATCAAAAAGTGATATTGAGGTATCCGCGAAAGACGCGCGCAATGGCGAGCATGCGCGTGACCGAGTGGCGGTGTAATTGCACCGGCAGGCGGGCGTCGATGGCGAGGAGGAGCAGCCACCCACATAAAAAATAGATATGCTCATGAGGTCGGGATGGAGTCTTGGGAGTTCGCTGGGTGGGGGATCCTGCGAGAGAACGAGCCGAGGCCGTGCTGCCCGATTAATGGGCACTCAAAAGACATGTTTGAGCTGGTCTGGCCGCGAAAGAGTTGAGTTGCAAAGTAACGCTTCTTTAATTGAGATATAGGGAATACTTGATCACGATCCCAACGCGCGCGGCAATGCCGATCGACTGCTTGGGGGCATCATTATTTAGCACCAACAGGAGCAAAGGCAAGCAAAGCATGTGTGGAAGACGAGCCATGCGCGGCTAGCTATTGGGCCTGGTCGATCGGTTCCCACAGCGGCAATCGCAAACGTGCGCCAGCAATGACGCGTCCGCATTGGGCACGTGGGGGACTGCCGAAGACGTGCCGCGGGGGCGCCCTCATCGCGACTACGGCCATCATGTGGCGTGTATTACCAATGAGCCATAGCCGTGCCATTGCACATTTTGATTGCACCAACAAATTTGGATGCACCGCGCGGGGGGAGCTAGAGCACATTGCGCAGGCGCAGAGCCTGGAAAGTATAGCCCATTGGCAGTTGCAGCGAATGAGCACGCCTCGATGATGATTATCGGAAGCGGCGAGGATATCAGCACGATGCCAGGGAGTGGAAGGCAGACGGGTTCCTGTTTAGCGCCATGGGACTTCAATGCATGCTACAAGCCCCGCGTCGAGAATTGGAACAAGCACCCCGCAGCGCGGGGCAGCGCTGACGGCTTGCTACGCACGAGGCGTCCGACATTGAAGCTGGGCGAGGAAATGGGCAGTGGGCTGGCAACTTGCATGAGCGACGCGACGCGCAATCACGCGTGGCCGGGCACTCCTAACGTAGAAGGGGCGGTTCAAAAGATCAGCCACGCGACGGAGGCATTAGGGTGAACATCAGATTAAAGCAGGAGGCTATCACCTGAATGTAGGGCAAATTTGCCGACCTCGCTGCAGATGGGACTATCGCAGATGAGATCCTTGGGCGCGGCGAAGCTACGCCTCCAGCGCGGGGGGGAAGGCGGCGTTCTCTGGAAGGCGAGGGAACTGCACAAGACAATGCGTTTGACCATTCAGGGTCTGGCCCAGGGGGCCGGCTTATCTCGGCGAACTACAATGGATTTGGCAAAAACAACCCCCGTGTATTTAGGAACAAAAGCACGGCGCAGATTGCGCGGAGTCGGGCGGGAGGGAAACTGAACCACATCAGAGGGGCAAAACTACATTTACGGGCGCTTATGAACTGTTTGGCCATTGGAAGTTCAACGACACGGAGACTCAATCATTCATCAGGAAGCTGAAACGCTATCAAAGCTGCGGTAGGTTAACAGAAGAAGCGAAACAGGTTCCGGCAGCGTTTCATGGCAATGCGTTTATGGAGGAGGTGGAGGGACTCACGCGACTTGATCGCAGTGGGAGAATGCTTCTTGGCAGTCCACCGGGGGCTCTGCATGTCCAAGATGATCCGGGGCTGCGCGCAATGCTCATTGTCGTTTTCTGCGAGTGGCAACCAGATGATGGCGAAGATTGGCTGCTGTCTGTCGGAGGCACTGCAGGAAGTAAGCGCTGGTGCTCGACTGATTTTCTCGCAGTTTGATTTCCATCTCGGTTGCCGAGGACAGCGAGGGGGGGGCGACAACAGACAATGTGGAACCAATGCGTTCGTCTGCTTGTGGTGGGCGATGAAGGGGGGGGCGGAAGTCGAACTGGGCAATGCATCCGCGACGCGCCGAGCACTTGCAGCGCGCCGGCAACAGGCGCATTTATGCATAACTGTATTGGAATTAGTTACACGCGCAAATGCATGCCCATGGTGCCGCGCAGTATTTGCAAGCAGGCAAGTCGCAATCCATCATGTCGTGGCAGCAGCAGGAGCACGCGAGACATGTTACTCCAACTTCGGGCGCTCGGAAACGAGCAGATCATTCCCGACAACTTCTGGGGGCAACAAGCTGGTCGCTCTGTAGCCATGCGGCTCGAGATTTCGAAGGCTCCGGGGCCCGCGCTGTCACGCGTTGCACCGGCCCTGAGGCCGTGCTCGTTCCCCGAGCGCGGCGGCGGAGGTGCGCGGAGCGGCGCGGGGGGCGCCCGAGAGGGGCGCGACGTTCGCGCCGAGCAGCAAGCGAGAACACAAAAAGGGCAACGGACTTCGAGGGACAGGAGACGACAAGAAGCTCGAGGGAGTGCTGATGGCGAACTTTATCAGCCTGCAGCGCCTTGCGCTATCAGAAGACGCCCAAGGCCAAGAGCTGGTAGTGGTAATATTCGGTTTCTGGCTGCGCCCGAGCAGGGCCCAATGCATCGAGGCGGGGAGGGGGGCGGTGTCGGATTGCGAGAAGACGGTGAAGGAACGAAGCAAGGGACATGGTCTGGGCCCACCGCGCCATCAGGTTTCGGCGGCGATGATGGAGGTGACGAAGGAAGAAGTCAATTGAACGCCGTGCGAGGACCACCTGAACAAGAGGCGGCAACTGGCGAGAAGCGAAAAGGGCCAGCACATCGTTGGATAGACGTTCAAGGCATGCAGGCCGAATTGCGCGCGTGCGAAGGCGGACGCGCCCGCGGAGCAGAATGATACCAAGGTCACACCGAACTTCAACAAATGATCGAATTTCTGCTCGTACGCCCCAGACGCGATGGAGGAGATGCCCACGGCCGAGGACGCCAGGAAGGCATTCATCATGGGCATGCAGAGGAGCGGAGCGGAGAAGATGACGGGACAGGTGCCGAAGTCAGAGTTGGCACGGGTGGTCGAGAGGCAGCTCCGAGTGAACGTCGAGACGTGAGCCGGAGCTGTGCTCGCGTGAGTGCAGCAGCTGCGCACATCGTACGGGAAACGTCACAGGAGGCAGCAGCCAGGCAGGGGACTGCTGAACTCTTGCATTGGGGGAAAGAGACCAGGCGACATTCCCCCGAGGCGGGGGGTATAACGCCCAGCCCAGAGGCGATCCGAGGAAAAGCAGGGGCCCCAGATGCTATCCGACTCAGTATACACTAGTTTCCTCTCCCGTGTCTCCGAGCCCCTCCTCCTCGTCCTCCCAGCTAGCTAGGGCGACTGGTTCGCAGCATGCTTCGAGCGATCCTGGCACCCCAGCAGATCTTGAGCGCATGGCGGCGGCTATCAGTAGCATAGCGAGACAGATGTTAGACTATGTTCACAGGCTTTTCTGTCGTCCACCTCCCCGTGCCCCATCAGGTTTTGGGCGAAGAGGCGTGGGCTTCCGAGTGACAAAGCGGCGGGGCCATATTTATGCATCCCTGCCGAAGGTCCACCAGTGCGAGAAGCCATGGGTTCCCCACTGGCGGGCGAGGCTGCGGATGTGTAGCGTGATTAGACCTTCGGCCGATTTCGAAAGATGCGCACGGATTTTTGAATATGGGCAAAGCGTGGCCCTTCGCTGTTCAAGCCAACGCACTGAGACCATTCGCCCCACCAGCGCTCCATCCACCCATCCTTCCATCAATCCCCCTCCCCTGGTTTCCTCCATCCGTCCTCCTTCCTCCTCCCCCCTCCCGATCCTCCCTAATCGGTCTTCCTCCCTCTCTTACACTTCTCCCCGCTGATTCCCCTCCCTCGTTTCGTGCGTGCCCGCCCGCGTTCGCAGCACAGGACACCGGTGACTTGCAGCTGATCGACCCAGAGGGCCTCAGCAAGTCCGGCCTGCAGACGTGGAAGGCGGACCAGCCTTGGGAGCGCTTTTCTCGTCCTCCCTGTCGTTTTCGGGAGTCCCCGGACGGGGCTGGGACGAGGACGACTCCGTTCCCGAGCGTTCCGGAACGTGTTCAGAGCTTTCCGAGACGTTTGAGAAGGCCGCGGCGCCCCAGACATTTTCCACAGCCGCCGCCTCTCAGGGATTCTCGATTTATCCACACCCGATGTTATCCTCGTCTTGGCTTCGTCTGAAGTCCCCAGACAGTTCAGTCAGTGGCCGCGCTGTCCAGTGAAACAGAAATCACACGGGCTCGGTGCACCGTTTTTGCATGTGGGTCGTTTTCAGAGGGGGTCTCGGGCCCCCAGGGCCCCGCACTTTCCCGAAATCGCGCAGTGACTGACAGTGCGGTGAGGTTTTTGGTGGGATTTCAAGGTCACCGCAGGGTCTGTCACCGCAGCGTTTCGGGGCTCCCACCCACGAAGCTGCTCCGCCTCTCATGCCGGGGAACCACTGTCCCTCGTTACAACTGGGTGATGGGATCCACGCAGTGGTCAGCTGGAACCACCTTCGTTCACCCGTACCTGTCGGGTGTTGGAACCCATATGTCTTGCCAGTCGTTTTTGCACAAATACCACGCTGGATCCACAACCCACTCGAGTTCCTTTTCAAAAGCAAAACACTCGGGCCGAAAGATGTTCATCTTGAGCCCGGGATTGGGGACGCGCCGCGCCGTTCAATTGAACGGATGTATGTTGCGTTCGCTTCGAACCAGGGCGTGCCACATGCTCCGGGAGTGGATGCGGGGGTTGGCGGGGCCCGTTGTGGCTTTCGAGCAACCGAACGGTATTGGGGGAGCTTGCGTGATGGCCAGACTGTTGTGGCGCTGTAGCACCCACGCGTTATGGGAGAGTTTAGGGGAGGCGGCTAGGCCCGCTGTGGCGTTTGAGCGTTCTGGATCTTGACATGTTGTTTGGCCTCGTCCTCGTCCTCCGTCCTATGTTCCTTCTTCCCAGCTATTCCAGGGACTTTTCTCCGCACCACGCAGCATCTTTGCAAGGTGCCGCGCTCCTTTGCCTAATACGCTCCACTCTGGTTTCCCCACGCATCATATCGATGCACATAACGCCACGGAACGTCCCGCACAAAGGGTCGGGCGCTTTTTGTTCCAGGTTGGTTGTATACAACCCATTGTCCCTTTTCGTCGAAGTTGAGCGACCGAGCGATACATGGCGGTAGCTGCGCGCAGATATCATTGAACGAGTTGGCATACGAACCCGAATGCCCGCAGGTATACCTGTTCAAGAGTGGCATCGGGATCGACGAAGATACGGAGTTTCGTCGGGCTGGGATGCGGCGCTATTTTCGAACAGGTCTGCTGCAGGTATGGTGGTGATGACGAAACGGTTTCAGACAATAATTTGGACGATCGTGGCGCCGCCCACCTCAGCACATGGACGATGGCCGTACGTATCGCAAGACGATGGCTCGGCCTAACAACGGTACTCCTGCATCTGCCCCCGTAAAAGCATGAATGTGCTCGCAAGACACGTGGGCGTATGCACCGATCCTGGACTCAGGATGGGTCTGGCCAGAATCGGTGCATGTGCATAGAATCGGTGCATTGCTGATTTCTATGAAGATCTGTACCGAGCAATCGGTCCCCCAGCGGCTGGAGCAACCGGACAGGATGGCGGCATTCCTCCTTTCACAGCTTCTGAAGTCTGGGAGGAGAAATCTCCAGCGATATCTTCAAAAATGGTGGACAAGTTCTAATCGACATGGTCGTGCTTTGTCCAACGAAATTATCAAGCCAAGCGGAATCACCCCAGAGAGTTGGAAGACATCTTTCATTACAGTATTGCTCAAAGATGGCGACGCGAAGTTGCCCTCCCAACTACCGGCCTATCACTACCATCCCGCTGCTATACAAATTTTTCAGCCGGCTAATCAGGCGGCGCTTCATAGCAATATTGGACAAAGCGCAGTGCGATGACCAGGCTGGTTTCAGTGCGGACGACAACACGGACCTTCATCTCTTCGCTTTGGGTTTATTGCAAAAGAAATGTGACGAGTGGGGGCAACAACTTTGGGTGGCCACGGTAGTATTTGGGCTGCGTTGTGAGAGCAAGGTATTCTTATCCATCGCATATCGTTATTGGGAAAATGTTATTCTGATCAAGTCGGTGACATTATTCTGGACAAGGCGAGCAGAGATTTCCCAATCCAGCGGGGGACGAATCAAGGGGACCCGCTAAACCCGAATATTTGTTTTATGCTGTAGTCGAGTTTATATTGAAGCCACTAGAACTTCGATGGCTGTTACATTCTTGTGGTTTTCTGCAGGGGGGCCGGCGGTTGACACATTTAAGTTTTGCAGACGACGTCATGTTATTGAGGAACACGCTGGCAGGCTTGAAGATGACGCTGGGGGACGTGGCGGCGGCGTGCAGTTTGCACGGTGTGTCTCTTTACTTAGGCAAAGCGAGGATTTTGACGAATTTGCGGGTGAGCAGGGGCGACGCTGTGCAAAAGTTCATCTCCGTGCGTGGCATGGACGCGGAATCGCCCACAAGAGAAGGTGTGCCAACGTATCTCGGGAGGAAGATTTCGTCCCAGAACGCCTACAAGACGGAGTCAGACAACCGGATGCGCAATGCTGCCGGAAGTTTTATGCGTCATAGGACGAGCAGACGAACAACAAGTATCCAATCAACACCAGGGCACGCCTTTTTCGAGTTGTTGTTGCTCCGTGCGCACTGCGTGGTTCGTCGTGTTGGACGCTCACGGCAGATTTAGAGCATGTCTTGGTCAAAGCACAACGCCACATGTTACCAATGTTGATTGGGTGTGGCAGGCGCCAGATCCCAGCCGGTTTTCCTTCCAAGTCGTTGCCGGGTTTTGTTTGCTCGATTCCGTCTTGCGGTGTCATGTTTGACGACGGAGCGGAGGAGGCGGAGGAAGAGAAGGGATTACATATATCTGAGTATTGGGATGAAAATCGAACAGCATTTGGGCGCGCTGGGCGTATCTGATTGGAAGGGGCAATGCAAGAGACGCACGGGGCACCGAGTCAGAACGCTGCTGCAATCTGAACAGCACAAGTGGTTTCTCGCAGTTTGTTTTGTGAGCCGGGGCGCACGAATGCCAGGAGTGAGCGCACGGGACGCCCCCCCCGAAAATGGGAAGATGGTTTTACGCAGGCGTATGCATCATATTTCGAGCAGGGCGTAAACCAGAAAGCTTGCTTTTTTGAAAGTCAGGCGTGGATGAATATGCAGATGCGGTACGTGGGCCTCTGAGCGAAGCTATCTTCTTCCGCGCCACCGTGCCCAGGGCGGGTCCACCCGCGCTCCGGCAGCGCACCGCTCTCCCGTTCGTTGGGGCCAGCTATCCGGCTACGTGGAGCGAGTCCCGGGTCCCGCTGAAAGGGCGGCAGCGACGGCCGGCGGCCGAATCACGCCCAGTGACGGTGGCCCTCGTCTTCGCCCGCTCCGCGCGGCGCAGAGTTCCGCGCGTGGCGGGCGCGGTCGCGCGCGCGCGCGCGCGCGCGTGCGCCCGCCGCAGTTTCCCCAACCAGCGTTTCCGCGGAACCGTCCGCGCCTTTCGCCGCCCGGCGCCGAGGGAGCGCCGATGATCTTCAGGACGTGTGACAGCCGAGTGTGCGCTAGCTCCGCAGGAGGCATTGTTCCAAGCAGTGGCGAAGCGTCCTGGCTCGCCGATGGGACCGCCCGAGAATGTTATGATAACCTGTTTGTGGTCTGCGCGACACGTTTTAAGGACAGTCCTGGTTGATACTGTCTTGTTTAAGCACGTGATTACTAGGTTCTAATATTATTGTTAATGATATTCGAACATATTTGGGTTCTACGAAAATTTCGTGGTAGGCCTATAGGAATGCCGGGACAGTCGGCCCCTGGTCAATCCATACACCACCACTACGTCCGGCCAGGGCAATCTTGGGTTTTGGCACGGTGCATGCGCATGCTGGGCCGCCGCCAGGAGGGTCTGTACACCGTCTTGGGGCCTAGGATAAGCCCAGGCAGACACGGTGGTGGGGTATAGCTGTTTTTTGCGTATCGGCTTCGCTCAGCCCCGCCGATAGCACGCAGCCCGTGACGGCCCACACTGCATCCGTTTGCATCGTAGTGAAGTGTTGCTGTGGGCAAGGCGACGTTGGCGCTAACGCACGTGCTGAGGACCATCGAGAGTGGACTCCGCGGGAAGAGGAGGGGAGGAGGGCGAGGAGGAGCTGCGGCAACTCGGCGGTTGCATGATGAGGCGGAGGGCAGGAGCAGGGGTAGGAAGGAGAGAGAGAGAGAGCAGGAGGGCAGGAGCAGGAGTAGGCGGAGAGAGAGAGAGAGAGAGAGATAAAAAAAAAAAAAGAGAGAGAGAGCAAACAACAAGTAGCAAGAGCGACGCAGGACGATGAGGGCGAGGACGGGAGGAGGAGGAGGTGGAGGAGGAGGCATACCATGCAAGGGGGAGGACGACCAGAAGGATGAGGTAGTGGGAAGGAGGGAGGGAAACAGCTACGGAAGGTTCGCGCAGCGTGAACGCGGCGGTGACCCCAGGTTGAGCGCCGATTGTGGCCCAGAACCGGTCAGTCTTGAGCGATCCGCGCGGTGGGCCGCTTCCGCTTCGATTTCGTTTGGTGGCAAACGCGGCACGCAGACATTTCAGGGGGGAAAAACCACACAGACAAAATTAATTGTCGATTCCCAAGAAAATATAGGAAAATATGGGAAGTGGGGGGGAGACACATACCCAGAAACTATAGGACAATATGGGTAATCCCGTTGCTTGTGTCTATTTATTTGTGTGCCCCAGGGCTCCTTCAACAACACGGGCAAGACGAGAAAACAACACGCAAACGAAAAACACATAAGGTCGAGCCTGTTTCAGGGCTGGGGCAGTCCACGCGGTGTCAGGAAAGCGACGCTCCCGTCGTCACGACGCGGACTTGTTGCAGGCAGAGGGCCAACGATGAGGGGGATGATGCTGATGCTGATGATGATGAGGAGGAGGATGAGGAGGAGGAGGAGGAGGTGACATGCGAAGAGGGCTGGGCAGGGGGGAGGACGACCATAAGAGGAGGAAGGAGAGAAGGAAACAAGGAAAGTAGGGAATAATTGGCGGGGAAGGGATGAAGGAGATAGGTACTTGCGTAAGGAGCGTTCGAGGGCTTTTGACTATCGTCTAGCGCGTTGCAGCTGCATGCGTCGGTGGGCCCGCGAGGTGGGCCAGAAGCAACGATGCAACCTGACCTTGAAGGACCGATGGATGAGTGATGGAGGCAGGGAGGAGAGGACGGGAGGGAGGTAAGGACGAGGGAGGGAAAGAGGAGGGAGGGAGGGAACGAAGGAGGGAAGGAGGAGAAAATGGGAGGGAGGGTTGGAGGTTCAGCAGGGGGGAGGGAGGGAGTTCCCAGCACGCGTGCGAATTGCTCCATCGGCCTTACGAAATAAAGAAGGAGGGAGTCGGAGGAGAAAACATGGCAGGGAACAGGGAGGACGGGATTGGAGGAATCGGGAGAGAGGAGGAGAAAGGGAGGTAAGAAAGGAGGAGGAGGAGGAGGAGGAGGAGGACACGGGAGAGGGACGGGGAGCTGGAGAGAAGCCCCCGAGGCCACCGACCGCGACATGAAGGCGAATTTGGTCTTCTACTGGATCCAGGCCCAGCACCTGCCCCCGTGCAGGGCCTGCGCCCATCCGGTTCGGTCCGATTCGGTATTGGTTAATCGTGCGTCTAGCAATTCCCGGATAGCTCCTTGGAGAGCTAAGAGGGTTGTTAGAGTAGAAGCCGGCAGGCAGGGCTGCGCCAGCTCCTCTCCAAGGCTCCCGGGCAGGCATCCCCGCAGCGACTTGCTTGAACTCGCAGCGTGTTCTGGCCAGCGTTTTCCTACTCTCTCTCTCTCTCTCTCTCTCTCTCCAAATACGCGTACCCCCAGCCTTTCCGCAGTCCTTCGCAGCTCCCTCGAAGCTTCTTCGAAGCTCGTTTTTCGAAGCTTGCAAGCTCCCCAGGCATGTCTTCCAGCGTCCTGGCAAGCGTCTCCCACGGGCGTTTTCCACGCTTGCAAGCTTGCCAGACTTGCTGTGAACCGGCCTTGCACGCGTCTCCTATAAGCGTTTCGCGCGTTTTGGATTGCGCTTACTCTTTCGTTCGGAGCAGTCCGACCTGAGCAGGTCGTTAAGCTGCTCCGACCTGAGCAGGCTCCCGGATAGCTCGCAGAGAGCTAAGAGGGTTTCAGATTAAGAAGCCGGAGCCGCAGGGTAGCCCCGGAGATCGGTTCGGTGGCGGGCAGGACACCTCGATGGGAGTTGCCTGAACCTGCAGCGTGCTCCGGCAGGCGTTTACTCAGCGTATCCCAATACGCGTGTCCAGAAGCTCTCCAGAAGGTGCTTCGGAAGCTCTCTCTGACTCCTTGAAGAGTTCTTCGCCAGGCCTTTCCAAGGGATCGAGGAAAATGCCGCGTGCAGACGGATTCATCACAAGAGGGGACAGAGGAGACAGGAGGAGGAAGTGGAAGAGGAAGGGACCAGGAGACTGCCATGAATGGTGATGCGTGCAGTTTCGATTGGGCGCTAAAAAGGAGCACGTATGCATGTGCGATACATGGGGGGGGGCAGCGAGGGCTGCAGAAAAGGGACCCTATAGGGCCCCTGCAGGGGCCCTCTAGGGCCCAAAAAGAGGCCTTCAGGGTCCGAAAAGTTTACCCCCCATGTCTCGCGATGCCCAGTGGGACTGCGACTCGGAGAAAGCCACGGGGGTGAGTGATTGGAAACACAGGCTCCTGTCGCCAGAAAGGGGAACGTGGAGAGCGGTGGAACAATCAGTATCGTTTAACCGACCCCCATCCCCATCCCCATCCCCTTCGAGACCCCCACCAAATTACCCCGTCAATTGGGGATGCACCCCGCGAAACCCAAAGGGAACGGCCTAGATCCCCATCTACAGGGGCAAGTCGGCGAGTGGGGCCCAGGCCACGCCGCTGGGAAGAGGGATCGGATAAACGGTGCTCAAACAATCTCGATCCCGACGACGCCCACGAGCAGGCCCCAGAGCCCCGCTTGTGCACCGGACTCTGCGTGACGGCCCCTGGGCATGTTGCGGCCAACGATTTGGCACACGGCCCCCTTCTCGCAGAGCGCTGCTGTGCATCCTGGCGCGGCCGACTCGACTTGATATCGACTCCGCTCAGTATCGTTTCGCCGATCCCTATCCCCATCCACGTCTGGAGCCCGACCGCCTCACCACCTCAGTTGGGGATATGCGCTTCGAAGCCCGAAGAGATCAGCATGTATCCCCCATCCAGGTGGTAAATCGGCCAGTGGGGCCCAGCCCGCGCTGGTGGGGATGGGGATCGGTTAAACGATGCTCATCCGCGAGGATGGACGCCCCCCCATCTCGAGTAGAAGGTCGACTACAGAACTGAGTTACCCCAGAATTGGGTTGTCCGCCGAATATACGAAAAGTGCGTAGAATGCCGTGTCGATACACGGAGCATTCTACGCATGTCTGTGAGATCCCAAGGAGTATATTGCGTTCGGGTACATCAATGAGTAGTCTATCCCCTATCCGAACATCTCTTGATGTCAGCTTGTGATTAACAAATCCGTTTGGGGCGCGTGTTTAAACAAATCGTTCCCCTACTCGGGCGAATCGCGGGGCGGCGCCCGCCATATTGAAAATCAACCGGGCGGCGCTGGTGATTAGCGCCGATGCCCGGCCGCCAGGGGGGGGGGGCGGGTTGGAGGCAAGGGCGAGCCAGGGGGGGGGGTTGGAGGCAAGGGCGAGCCAGGGCGCCCCTCTTTCTGTCGAACCGATGCGGGCCTGCGGACGAGGCGGGCTGGACGAAAACTGGGCGCAGCAAAGAGGGGATTTGCCAAGCAGCTCACGCCGCCGATTTTCCAAGCGCCTCCTGGCGCCGAAAGCGGCCATGCGTCGAGGACTGGCCCTTCGGCGGGGCGACCAAAACCAGCTGCGCGCAGCAGGCTTTGCAGCACCCCCTTTCCTTCCCCAGCCTTTCGTCCGACCCGAGCGAGGCGGGTAGTCCTCCTCCCCCCCTCTGTCGCCGCCGTCGCCGCCGTCCCCCGCCCTGCCTGCGCCCTTTTCCAGCGGCTGCTCCATTCGTCGACGACGACGACGACGACGTCAGGACGAGGACGATGGACGACGGACGGCATTCTGCGGCGGCGGACACGTCGACGCTATTTTTGGGGGGGGGGGTGCGGCACACGCCCGCTGCAGTCCACGATGACGACGACGACGACGACGACGACGACGACGACGACGACGACGACGACGACGACGACGACGACGGAGAGGGGGAACGAAACTCCGCCTCGGATGTGTGCGACCCTTATATCAGTCTTTTTGCGAAAGGCGGGCGTTTCGAGGCTGCCATGCAGGGGGTGCACGATCCCCTCGGCGGCGCCAGTGATGACCCCCTGGCGCGTATATATATATATATATATATATATATATATATAGTTTCGTGCCCCGCGTGGTCTATTCATCAGCCCCAGGAAGTACCCGTTTGTTAACCACAAGCTGACATTCACCCCAGAGTTGGGCCCTAACCTCCTGCACAGTCGAGAACACGAGCCCCGCACAGCCCGGGGGGGGCTGGCCGAACCATGCCGGCCCCGCGGCGGCCCGCGGGTGCGCGGGCGGCCGCGCCATCTCCCGCGTTTTCGTGGTTGTTGTCGTCGTCGTCGTTTTCGTGTTCGTCGTCGTGTTTGTTGTCGTCGTCGGCGTCGGCGTCGGATCGTCTTCATAGGGAACCTGCTTCAGGGCGTCCGTCGCGACTGCGCGTAAGGGTTTCCCGACCCTTCGCCAGAGTGGATTTGCGTGCGGGCCCGCGGGGTCGCCCCAGCCTTCCAGGCCTCCCAAATGGGGCCCGAGCAGCTGGGTCAGAGGATCGCTCCGTATCGCCACTGCATGATGTGGCCCCGTGTGGAGTCAGATTTTCTCCGCGCCGTCTGCGTTGATGCCTCGCCGACGCATCGGCAAGGCATCGGCGATGCGGCGCGGTCCTCCGACCCCATGTGTTCCGACACGACCTGGGAGGCCTTTAAGCACCCCCCTCTTGGCCGTCCTCTGACGCCGCGCACCAAAGGTACTGTTGGTCATGAGTACTCGTGCGTACAGCCGGTTGTCGACCATCGATCAGGGGAACGTGACTCGAATACGCAAGAATTGAGGTTCGCCTACACTTCTTGACGAGCCCGTCCTGAATGTTGACGGTCCATTATTTGTGGAATGCCTGCAGCGGGCGCCCGCGTCAAATTTTGCGCGGGAACCGAGACGAAACATCCTGCCCGTTTTGCGCGCACCATTTTGCGTACTGCGCCGACGGGGCGAGGTGGCCCCCCCGTCAGAGTAGCGCTCGCTTCCGTCGTCCTCACATTCCCTACATGGTTGGGCACAATTTGTCGTCGACTCCCAGGAGAACATGGGAAACCCACAACATATAGGAAAATATGAGGGGGCTTCGGATTTGTGTGTATTTGTTTGTGTGTGTGTGTGTCCCTGGGCCCCTTTGGTTTGCTAAACCACGGCCTCTTTAGGCTGATGCTTATTGAATAAGCATCGTAGCGTGATGATGTGTATATAGACATCGCGTTGCCTATAAAAACAGCAGGATGTATATATTGTAAGATCAAGCCATGTATACATACATGTGCCTATACATATCAACAATATCTTCATTTTTGTATGTTGTATGGTTGCGTTTTTCAGCGACACACATTTCAACACTGACAACGCAACAACACAACAACTTTAACACACACGCACGCACACACGCACACACACAAACAAACAATCAACAAAGCAGGCAAGCAAACATGGGCAAGCAAGAAGGAAGGGAGGCCAATTGATGCGCCATGACATGCCACTGCATAGCTTGCCCTGTTTCACTTGCCGTGTCTCACTTGCCCCTCGTGCCCTCGCACTTCTTGTTCGACCGCCGCCACAGGCTCCCTGAGACGCCCTTATTTCGCCCATGACTCCTCCTCGTCGTCCTCCTCCTCCTTTTTCTCCTCCTTCTTCTTCCCTCGAGCCCTCCCCCTCCTTCCCCTCCTCTTGCCTCTCCTCCTCCTCCTCCTCCTCCTCCTCCGCCTCCTCCTCCTCCTCCTTTTTTCGCTGGTTTCTCGCGGTTCGAGGGCGGCCCGCCCGAGCTGCGATCGCAGCTGCCGCGGCGCGCGGCATGGCCAAAAAGGCCAAGGCCAAGAAGGCCACGGCCAAGGACTGCGAGAAGAGGCCTCGGTACAGGACCTTTTTTTGTGCGGGGGAGGAGGAAGAGAAAGAGAAGGAAGAGGAGGAAGCGAATGAGGAACAGGGGGACGTGGAAGAGGAAGTGGTTGACTTAAGAGCAGGGTGATGGTGATGATGATGATGATGATGATGATGATGATGGTGATGATGATGATGATGATGATGACGAGGAGGATGAGGAGGAGGAGGAGGAGGAGGAGGAGGAGGAGAAGGAGGAGGAGGAGGAGAAGGAGGGAGGAGGGGATGGGCTCGGGGGAGGATGGAGGAACGAGGAAAAGCGGGAGGTAGAGACGCAGCGAGCGAGAGGGAGAGAGGGGGAGAAAGAGAGCAAGAGAGAGAGAGAGAGAGAGAGAGAGAGAGAGAGGCAGGCGATGGCGTGAGGTGATGGGAGATA